GCTAATCCACTTGACAGGTATTTGGTTTTGCATATTCTATTAACGGAATCGTCTGATAATCGATGAGTCCCCGGTAAGACGGGCATACATCTTGCAGGAGGACAGTCCTATTTCACTAACCGAAGTGTCTGACCAACACCGGGCCATTCTACTTGTCACGCCGTCTGACTAGTGACAGATGCATTCAATTAGCAACCGCCTGACGGGACACCAATTTATTCTACTTAAGAGACACGCCGGTCCTTCGACTAACTGCTTAAATTAATTTAGGACCGCTCTCCGTCGGATATCCCATTCGCTTCTGCCCAGATACTCCGAATCCTTTCGCAATCTTTTATCGTCCGTCCACTAATCGAGGAATAGAGAAACGAGTTCACGGCATGAACGGTGCATCCGAGTTGGGCAGTCTTCGAATTCTTTCGAAGAAATATTTATCTAAGATAATTATCCGAATGAGCTCCTTTTAGTTGAATATTTTATTCGAATGATTCTTTATTAAAATAATCATTTATTCGATTCGTTCTTTATTCGAATAATTTTTGATTCGAATAATTCGAATAATTCTTTGTTCAAATAATTTTTTATTTGGATAATTCGAATGATTCTTTATGAAAATAATCATTTATTCGATTCGTTCTTTATTCAAATAATTTTTGATTCGAATAATTCGAATAATTCTTTGTTCAAATAATTTTTTATTTGGATAATTCAAATGATTCTTTGTTCGAATAATTTTTTATTTGAATAATTCGAATAATTATTTATTCAAATAATTTTTTATTTGAATAATTCGAATGATTCTTTATTCGAATAATTTTTGATTTCAATAATCGACTGATTCTTTATTCGAATAATTTTTGATTTCAATAATTTGAATGATTCATTGTTCGAACAATTTTTGATTCGAATAATTCGAATAATTCTTTATTCGAATAATTTTTTATTTGAATAATTCGAATGATTCTTTATTCGAATAATTTGAGATTTAAATAATTCGAATGATTCTTTATTCGAATAAAATATTATAGTATCGAATACAATTTTATTCGTCAGTGTTCATCTCTTATCCGTAATCCAAATAAAATTCTGCACAACTCTGCACTGTATGGAATATTATCGGTAGACTTTAGAATCTCGGAACACTCGCATCATTGTCAAAAAAGTGTGAAAAATCGAACATTTTTCTTCCACCGATCAATTAATTCTTTCATTTATCTTCTCCCGTACACTTGAGATCCCCGAAGAACAATTGTTTCTCGTTTCGTACCTCGCAGCACGATTTTCAATGAGAAGAGAGCGCAATCTCGACGATTTCATCGTGCAACTTAAACGTCAGGCTCCGGAGAGACAATTCCCAATTTCGGGTAAAAGCAACATGAACTCTCTCATCTTATGGCGCACATGTTGGGAAAAAGAGACACCGTGGCCCCGTGACGGCAGGAAGCGGCGTCCCGGTCTGAGATACGATGACGCTCGGTTGGCCAGAAATTTCAGGGCTCAGATTATGGCCGCGGACGACGAGAACGCCGGCATAGAAATTTTATTAACCCGACGTACGAACATACAGACGTACGCGTGGCCGCACGGTAATCCGGGTCCGTGGCCCGTGTCTGGAAATTCTGAAAAAGCCGCGGCTGAAGCCGGTGGAAACGGCGCCGGCCACCACCGGCGGAATAAAATTTGAGTTTGCGCGCGTGACCCTTTGTCTCTGCTGCAGCCGGTCGTCGCGACGACCGCGTCTTTGAAATTCCATGTCGAGGCGACGTTTTCAGCAATCCGCGAGAATATGTCTGGGCCGGGGTCCGCCTGAATGTCCGTCGGAAAGCGATTCAAAGCGGTTCTTGGAAAAGCTGCGGTCTTTTCGCGCGATCCCGTGAAAGCTCTTCCACGTTTTTCAAACACAAAAAACACCCGGCCAAGGACTATTCATTATTTGAAGAGCTCTAACTGCGATACCCGGCCTTAGTTTCCCAATTATCTCGGCGGCTTTCTTTCGCCTGGATCTTTGTGTATACATTTCTCGGAACGCGGGCAAACGTGCGCGGCGTTTTCAACGATGTTGCGTTAATTTCGACTGATTTTGTTTATTTCGCGACAACATTTGCTTGCCGGAAAGGCCACTGGAACGCTTCCAACAGCACTTTGCTTTCGGATACAGTCTATATTCCCAGGAGTTCATTTAAATCCGGATATAATTAAATATTTTTGGAAAATTAACTAACCGGTTAAGTTGTGTGAATAAATAAATGCTAATGATAAAATTAAAAAAAAAATCTAAAACAGTCATTTCGTTGCAACTTAATTCTATAGTATAGAAGCCAGAGGTACACTTTTCAAAGAGATTGCAAAAGCTTTTTATTATTATTTCTTCTTGTTATCATTTTTTACACGTTGTTCTTTTTTCTACTTGTTATCATTTATTCATTTAAATGAAACGAATGTCGTCGTCTGGAACGGATTTCTCGAAAATAGGTTCACCGCGTTAAATTATGCGACAAAAGTGAACAATATCGCATTCTGAACAGCTCTGAGATATTTTCAATTTCTATATTCCTCGATTTTCGACAAATCTGGTGGACTCCTGTTTCCGTTCGACGGTAGCACGTATAGAGGACACAGATTCGGGCTTCGCTAAATCCTAACTAAAGTAGAGCCTCGTCGAACTTGAGGGGACGCCGCGATGTTTAACTGTTCCGAGGCGTTTGTGTTCCCAGTCACGGAATCTCCGTGCCGATTCTCTCGGTCGTCTCTTCATGCTTCTCCCTCGTTCCTCGGCGATTCTTGGCCTCTTTCTCCACCGGAAAGGAGTCTTCGACTGCTGGCTCGTTTCGGGCTCCATTCTTTCCGCAACTGTAATTTGTATGGGCGATCACGTACCGATACGCTGCTATCTGTGCCCCATTTGTCACCGAGCGCCTCGCCCTTTCCGGAAGACACCGGAGTTTCAATAATTTGTCGGTTTCCGGGCCCGACTTCCACCCGCTCCACGCAGAGGTTATTCACTCTTACACGCTGCGACGGTCGCGTTGTGAACAATTATTTGACGCGGAAACAGTACGAAGAGATCGATACGATCTCCGACACTTCGATCGTACCAGCTTTATTTTCTTTTCACTTGTTCATTTTCATTTTGTCCCTTTTACGATTACCATTTTCCTGAGCGAGTCGTTTAACCGTCTCACCTCAATTTTTCTTGCTAACTACGTGTTCCAGAAAAGAGAAAAAGATCAAAAAATTCATCGTCGCCCTGCACGCTTCTCTTTGTGCCGTATAACCTTCGTCCGAAACATTTTTTTGCGGAGCATGCAGTTTACACAAGAAACTAAGGCGGAAGAGTTGAATGACTCACCCTATATATTGTCTCATTAAAATTCGAACTAGTAGAAAAAGTTCTTCCGTTGTGTAAAAATTTCCTTATTGAAAGAACAAGATGGAAATATAACCTCGACAATGTCAATTACAACGATCGTACATTTCGTTGCAAATCTGCGCAGTCGAATTATATGCGAATATAATCTAATACGATCAAACACAAGTCTGTTATCAATGCGAAATAATCTGAAGACAGGTTAAAATTGCTCTAAATAAAAAAGAACGAAAATTAAGTCTATTGTTTTGGAATTCGTAGTACAACGAAAAAGAGGTCTATGAATTTCGGAAAAAGAAATTAATGTACCGTCTGTTGTCGCAGAAGCGGTTTCTACTTGTTCCAAGTAGATACAGCTTACGAAAAAAAACCGAAATTGCATTTGCAACAGCCCGATAGAACGGAGAGAGACCTCCGAATGTTCGTCGCCTGTCTGTCCCCGTAATTAAGGTCGCGCGCGTCTCCGTGGTCGATTTAGAAAGTTACACGGCAAAAGAGCGTAATTAGAGATGAAACGTTGGTTTCCGCGTGAAATCGAGCGAGGCGGCGTTGCGCGCCGAGGGTTAATATAATGCATACGGGGCGGTGTAAGGGCGGAGGGGCGGAACGCGATGCGCAGGGGTTTCGATACTAATCCGATTTCTTCCTGGTCGTCGATCGTCCTCGTTAGTGGGACACTTCCACGGAGGATCCCGCGAGATGGTTTAATTATACGATGTAAATTAGTCGGTCGAAGTTTCGAGCGGCTCCTCGTTTTACGACTGTTAGTTATAAATGCATTTGTCGAGGTGCAATTGAATGTGAATTCCCGTAATTACGCTCTTATCTGGCCGGATGAAGATTCCCCGTGTGACGGCGGTGGTTTAACGAGTTAAACGACGGGGTTGAAACGTTTTTGGAAGATTCCTCGTTATCTATAAAACACGCCAACTTGCGGAACACGGAATAATAATAATCTGCCGAGGGAAATGCATTTCTGGCGACTGCGGTTCGCCGTGCAATCGCGGCCGAGCTTTCTCTCTTGCCGAGTTTCTGTCCCTATCGCAAACATTTAAAACATGCTCGAAGAACGTATTCGACACATTTTTTATTCGAACGTTGCCGCAATTGGAATGACTCTTTCGTAGAATATCGTTCGGCGAATTTAATGAACCGAGCAGAGATTGCAATAAAAACTACGAATACCGTAAATAAATTCAGTCTCTTCGTCGTTATAAAGTTACGGACGTTATCAACACACATTTAGGGCACGACAGGCTTGGCATTAAGAAATCAAACAAATTTTTATATTACTTTGGTTTGTCGAGAAGAACATACTTGACAATATTCCTCCAAATTTTTACGCAATTTTTAGACACACCATTTTTACAATGATGCGAATAATTATAGGCACAGAGTAACTTTCACGGTTTTAGTGATATTTAAACGAAAATTTAACAGTACATCATATTTGAATGTTTCTATATTAGAAGTAATAGCAAAATAGAAACATTCGAATATCATATCATTTAAATATCAGGAAGAACGTCAAAGTTTCCTCGAGTCTATAATTATACATACCACCGTATATATGTTCGCAGAGAATCACCGCATGGGGGCGAGGGTATTATAACGGTATTATTTTTCATTACAGCGCCAGAGTTGACAATAACCGACGATTCCGGGCGGGTAGTGCCTAAAGAAAGGCACCTAAAGGCCGGGAGTGCTCTCAAGCTCAGGTGCGAGGTTAGGGACGTCCTTGAATCTCTGAAGGAGACCGTTATTTGGACCAGAGGGGATGAAACGCTCACCGACGACGTTAGGTAAATACCTCCCACGTTGTTCTTCTAATTTCAACGGTTTTTGAATGTTCTTCATTAAAACCACTACGCCGCCCTCCTCAGTTAACTCTTACAAGACCATAAAGTTGCTAAGAATAAATATTAGTATGTAACTGTTTACTTTAGTTTGTTTTTAGACGTAAAATAAATAAAAATCGTAAGAAAAATACATAACAATGTGTAGTCTTTTTTGGACTTTTATGGAAAATATTTTGACCATAAAATTCAAATTCAAATGACAATTTTTACCATTTATTTTTACTGTAAAGATAACACAAATTATGGTTAGGCTTATTATGCAATGTCTTTTATTTATTGCTTTATTAGAACAAACTGTTAAGTGAAATAATAGAAAATTAAATTCATTAAATTCTGAACAGCAACTTCTTAAATTCTCTCCAAAAGGTCCCACTTCTTCTGAATTATTTATGTTCGCCTTCTCCGGATACCAGAGAGTAGCTAACACCGCAGATATTTATAATTTTCCCCTATTTTTAAGCATACTCTAGTAATACTTTCGGACCATTCCTCTAAAAAATTGCATAAACATGGTAACTCCTCTTGCCCAAGTTTCTGAAAATTACAGTCGGCACGCCAAAAACATCTCTTTTTTCTTGAAACAAAAAATGCTTCAGTTTCCGGAAACGAAGTTTCGGTATAGCGGCTCCGATGTTCCATTTCCAATTGCACTTGTCGATAACGAACGATTCCAAAAAGTGTTTAAATCTACTAACGAAGTTGATCCCACAAAAAACTTTAACCTTTTAATTTTCAGTTGTTCAAGTTCCGCCCAAATAATGAAATTATAAAGTAGAATGCAAGAATCGGGCGATTGCGTGGCCAGCCGCGAGCGCGCAAAAACCTCGCGCGTCACTTTGTTTTTGTATACCTCCGAGCTCGGCTGTTAAAGTTCGCCGCGGTGATTCGGGGGAACGAACCCAAAGTGTAAACAGATGTGACGTCAAATGTTGACGATCCGCGACGCAACGAACGCAGGGACCATCGATCCTTTATATCGTAATCTAAAATCCGTTACCTATTTTCCTTACACCCCCAGCAGTGACGGCTGTCAAGGCATTGCCCTAACTATTGCGCTGTTCCTCCCTGGTCTTGACATTTCCAAAATTCCACTCTTTACTTCTTCCTGTAACCTATGGCCCCGTTATAAATAGGCGTTGACCACAGGCGCGATCGCCTAATCTGGTCTAATCTAGCCTAATACGATACGTTCGATAACGATGAGATTCTTCGTCATTATCGCGACTTCACTTGCGAAAATTCAGCGTATATTACCAGCCTTGCTCGTTGTAAAATAGATTCAACTTTCATCCTCGAAACACCTACAATCATTTCGTCTACCCGCTTTTGTCAATCCTTTGCTTTCCTATAGATTCATGCAGTCCTAAACACTAGTAAAAATAATATGAAACTCGAACTTAAACATTGTCGTAATCCAAGAATGGAAACAGCTGTTATAAATTGGTATATTTTCGATACAATTTGCAGCACGGTTTTTCTATTGCAGCGAGAACAGGACGACCGAGGTTTCAGTCGGCAAAGAGGTCCTCGTGATCGTCAGCACTCTGATCGTCGAGAGGGCCAGTCCGCGACATGCAGGGAATTACAGCTGCGTGGTGCCCGGAAAAGTCAACACCACCATCGCGGTGCACGTGCTCAACGGTGAGTTTTTATAATAATTTGCACGTTTTTCGAAGAGCGCCGCTCGAGAGCGCCGCTCGAGAGCGCCGCTGTTTATGGCTCCGAAGAAGATTGATGTTCCCTCGGTGTTTCGACCGAAAAGGATTTTCCACCAAAGAGTAACCGCGAACCGAGACGATCGAGAGATCGGAGTAAAAACTAACATTTGCTTCCCTCGACGATCATGCTGCCCCAAAAAATGCTACAACGATTTCAATACGATCGTAAAAGCTAGCTTTCCATTGCCCATTCGGTGAATTCAACGAATTAAGAAAAAGATCAACAGTTGGGGTCGTATATTTTTAACCTTTCGCACTCGAAATTTATAAAATTGTGTTTAGAAGATTATATCAATAAAATGAATTTTACATTTCTGCTCTGAAACCAGAATAATAGTTTTTTGACTCGCAGTATTTTCATTCTGTATGACAGAATGTGCATTTTTGCGCATAAACGTGAGTCTCGTAACTCACGCCGCGGTTACTATATTCGCAATTATTTAAATATAAATAAATTTGATGACATAACATTTATTTTGGAACGTGATTTCTTCGTTAACCGCTTCGCTCCCATCGACATGTTTTGCGTGACGCCGACACTGTGTGTATAAAGTCACAGGTAACACGTCAGAGAGAAAGAGAGAGGGGAGAGAGAGAGAGAAAGAGAGAGAGAAAGAGGGAAAGTGGGAAAGAGAGAGAGAAAGAGAGAAAGAAGGAAAGAGGGAAAGAGAGAGAGAAAGAGAGAAAGAAGGAAAGAGAGAAAGAGGAAGAGAGAGAGAGAGAGAGAAAGAAGGAAAGAGAGAAAGAGAAAAAGAGAGAGAGATAGAAGGAAAGAGAGGAAGAGAGATAGAAGGAAAGAGAGGAAGAGAAAGAGAGAGAGAGAACGCGAAGGGATTAAACGCGGCGCGAATTGCTGCGAGCCACCTCGGCTTGCTAGAATCTTCGAGCAAAGAAGAATAAATATCAGTGTTGAATTGATTGCTGTTACGACATTCAAGATTGTGCAGCGATTTATTGCGATATTGACTCGCAAACGATTACCGCAGGTTTTGTCGCATCGGGTAAAGTGGAATCAATTAGCAACGGAAACGCGTTCGGTTTCTTAAGTTCCGCCGCGTATTCGACCGATACGGCATTAAATTGGCCGTCTAATAGAATTTCACGCGAACGGATATTAATTACTATCGAACGATCGTGTATAGCTTCACGGCGAGAAACGAATGCCCGCCCTCGCCTTGGCTCGGTCACGTTAAAGAATTCATTAATTTAAATCGCGCGATCGTATATTAAAGTGCTCGGGAGGATGATAAAAAGCGATCCCTGTAAAAAATGCGCCTGTTCCGCGACCGTGCGGCTTATGGCGGAGGGTGAACAGGGTCGCGATGGGGTGCGAAGGGGGCGCAGAGGTCGAGAGGTCGCGATTTATCGGGCGTCTAGTTTTTCTCTCACAATTAGGGGGCCGCCTCGAGCCTGCAACAGCTCGTAATTCTTTACACACTCGCGCGATTATCGCGGGCTACCTCTCGATTGCTCGGTTCTTGCGCACCTTCGATTTATCGTCTCGAAACCGGCGTACCAAACAACCAATTATCCCGCTGGGAGTCGCAAAAATTGGCCGGATATCGAGAGCCAGATTAATTTCCGAATTTCTTCGCGGAACCGCGGACCTTCCTTCGCGCGACTCAGAAAAAGAATTTAATGAAATTGTCTTTCGGTTCCGCCAACGTGGAATCGTTCGTTTAAAAAAATGCGACCACGTAAGCTTTTCCACACTCGGTCAGGGAGAGGGCAGATTTGCATACACCATTTAACCACCAATTAGATTCTAGCTGTATAACGTGGCCGCAATCTCGTACTTAATCTGGCTACATTAAATTTCCCACGTTCAAGCGAATGGAGTTTGAGATCGCATTTCGAGAATCTTGCACGAACTGCGCTCGCTATTTTCCGCCAAAGCTGAGCAGAGCGATGAAATTAGAAATTAGTATCTTCTCAAAAATGCATGGAACTCGAGCGGCACCAGAATCTTCGACAAATTTTTGTCCCAAATAAATTCGGCGCGAGTTCGAAGATCGGAGCTTTTCCTTTGCAACGACACCTTAAAACTTCATCTGCGATTTACTTGGTTCGTTTTGTGGATGTTCGTTATGTTCGAATGAAGGGGCTACAGTAATGTTTCCTTTACTGACGCTCAGATTTTGTCCACTAAATTGGATAATTTGGGAAGAGGAGATACGATTATTCGAGCCTTGCGGCTCGTTTTTATAATTCTGAACGATTGATAACTATAAAAATAAACCGCAAGATTTATCGAATAATCGTATCTCCTCTTCCCAAAGTTAGCCCACCCAGGAAATATCGTTTTCTCCTGCCATTCTTACCCGCGTGTCTATAATTCGTTGCCGTCTAAATAATGCCGCGGAGTTTCTGCGATCGCGCATCCTCGCGACGGCTAAGTATGTACAGTGAATTCACCCTAATTGACGCTCGGATTGCGCACGAAAATGGACAATTTGGCAAAAGGAGAGATGCGATTATTCGAGACTTAGGGTTCGTTTTTATAGTTACCGATTGTCGAACAACTATGAAAACGAGCCGCGAGGCTCGAATAATCGCATCTCCTCTTCCCAAAGTGTCCATTTTTGTGGTCAATCCGGGCGTCAATTAGAGAGACATTACTGTACTACGAGCTACGAAACAGCGAGAGAAAATCGCGTATAACGTGTTTTAAGTTGCCGTTTTAAAGGGGAGATTTCGCTCTTCGAATCCATCCTAAATCGAGTTCGGTGAAAAATTTTTCGAAGTTTTTTTCGGTTTCTGCCGCGCCACGTCCTGGAAAAAATTTTGATAAAAAAGTGAATAATGGTCCGCGAAAGCAGAGAGTTTCAGCTTCAAAAGGCGTGCGGTTTCGTTGTCGTGCGATTCCTTTTTCGGAAACGTAACAGGAGTGCAATTTTAATTAAACATGCAAATATGATTAAAAATGCAAACTCTATTAAAAATGCTAATTTCGTTAAAAATGCAAATTTGATGAAAGCTTGAGAGACTTTAAAATTGCTTGTACATTATTTTCAACCTATCGAACCTGTTAAAAAATACGGCAAACTTTTATATTACTTTAGTTTGTTGCAATCGAGGTGAACAATTTTTACTTTGCACAAAAATCTGCAATCTTTTCCAACGTTTTCAACAACGTGAAAAAAACAACAGAATTTCGTTCTAATTTAAAAGAGCGGAATAATATTCATACTTAACAGGTTCTTACTATAAATCTCCATTAAGAGAGTTAGACTCGTTAAAGTACCGCAAGGGATTAACACTGGAATTATCGCGACTAATGTACACTGTTTTATAACACAGTAACAAGATTAGATTGATTTAAACTTCTTACGATTTTTACTGTAATATTTGCTGGAACGAAGAAGTTCGAATAAAAATGTTGTAACAAAATCATTTTTATGGTGTCGAGAATTGTGAAAGAAAGAATCAGAAACCAGTCATTTTGGCTAAATGGTCATGACCACGGTCAAAATGACCTATTTCTTATTTTACGATACCACGAAATTTCGAGACTTCTTCGTGGGAAATGATTGAACAAATTATATTATTGAAACAAGCCCCAAAATTAAAACTTTACAAAATCCAAATGAATTCTATCTTTTCACTCTTGTGAGTCAATGCACGCTAAATCGTCATTACAGGTCGATTGGTTTAGTGTTAAATATAAAAAATGATTGCGAAGCAGAACCATTACGACCGTATTACTCTCGTGCTACTAAAATTATTGTTTGAAAAAAACAAACATTGCCAACTGACCTAAATTATTATTTCGAATAAAGCTGTGCCGATCTATTGCGACGTTTCCCGGCCGAAATCGCGAGCGTCTATTAGGTCCAGGATCGCAGGACGGGCGAGCTTTTCCCGGCTGGAAGGCGGAAGGATTCCTGACGAAAAAGCGCATCTCCGTGAGGGCTTTCAGCTCCTTTCAGCCCGAAAACGTGCGGCCCGTTATAATGTCGCGACGGGTCGACACGCGGCGTTCCTCGCTCGCGTTCTCGTCCCGCTTCCGGAACTCGCGCGCGACTCCTCGCCGACGCCGAAGAAAACGTCGTATCGTCGTCCCCCTTCCGCGCGGACCTTCGATCCTGCCCTGTCACCGACGACGCCGTCGCGTCTTTCACCGGCTCTTGCCGTATCACGTTCCGCCGTTTCGCGTTTTTGCCAGTCAGTCGACTTCGATTCCTCGATACACGTCGCTTTTTGTCAATCCGCTTGTCGCTATTAATGTCCGCCCTTTTTCTGGCCTGTCCCTCCAGGAGACTAATGCGCTTTGTTCGCGCAGCACTGCCGTCGCGCGTTGGTTTGTTAGCCCACCCGGGAAATATCGTTTTCTCCTGCCATTCTGACCCGCGTGTCTATGATTCGTTGCCGTCTAAATAATGCCGCGCGGAGTTTCTGCGATCGCGCAGCCTCGCGACGGCTAAGTATGTACAGTGAATTTAACCCTAATTGACGCTCGCGGATTGCGCACGAAAATGGACAATTTGGGAAAAGGAGAGATACGGTTGTTCGAGACTTAGGGCTCGTTTTTATAGTTACCGATTGTCAAGGCTCGAATAATCGTATCTCCTCTTGCCAAATTGTCCATTTTTGTGTACAATCTGAGCGTCGATTAAGGAGAATTTACTGTAATTTAATTTCCATTCTGTTCTGTTTGTACAAACTGAATACTAATCGGGAATAAAGTTTAGTGCGCTAAAGGTAAATCAATCCGTGGACCACAGTTTCGGTCGCATCGGTAACTCTGGCAGAAACCGGTGTTGGCAATTATTCGAATAAAATTGTGTCCCAGTGAAAGTAACAAATAAATCATTAATCGTAAATCGGTTATTTATTTTTGTAGTTATTCGTTATTCTAGTTATTCGTTATTCTAATTATTCGTTATTCTAGTTATTCATCATTCTAATTATTTATTGTTTGAG